TTCTCCTTGGCACATTCTCTTATTATCATAAGTGTTATCCACCCGTCTGACTGTAATCTTAATCCACCCGTCTGACTGCAATCATAAATCCATGCTCCCGAGTCACTTGAATGCTCTTGCATCACTCCCGTCTCAGGTTCCTTCAGTGACAACTCTTCGAACCTTCACCCTCCCCTCTGAGGCTGTCCTGTGACAACTCCATCTACAACTCGCTTGTCAGCTCTGCTCACTCCCTGCCCTTGTTCCTTGGCCCTGTGCATACGGTGCCACTCCAAGGAGAACTCTGGGTTCCCCTTTGGGCTTCTCTCCTCCCCGTCTGAGGCCGTATCCAGGGGTGTGTCCATGCCCTAGCTTGGAGAGGCTTTGTGCCAAAGTGTGAGAAGGAGCTAAACTAAAATCTAAAAGCAATCACATGTTTAATATAAATATATATTTGAACTAAAAATTATGAACATTTAAAAAATTACAGCAGTGTGTGAACAACGCTGAGAAGTGTGTATATTTTTTCATTAGTTTATTATAAAAGAAACATGGAGCCCTAACTGGTTTGGCTCAATGGATAGAGCATCAGTCTGCGGACTCAAGGGACCCAGGTTCAATTCCAGTCAAGGGCATGCACCTTGGTTGTAGGCACATCCCGAGAGGGGTGTGCAGAAGACAGCTGATCAATGTTTCTATCTCATCGATGTTTCTAAATCTCTATCCCTCTCCTTTCCTCCCTGTAAAAAAACAATAAAATATATTTAAATTTTAAAAAAGAAACACAGAAATTATTTATATGACCAAAGATTTCAGAACTTCAATGGAATGGCCAGCTCCACATGACGCCATTTCAATAGTGATTTATTTCAGTCCCCATTCTTTCCAAGAAGGTTACCATCTCTAAATAAGAAATAGTCCTTGTTGCTGAAACCGGTTTGGCTCAGTGGATAGAGCATCGGCTTGTGGACTGAAAGGTCCTGGGTTCAATTCCGGTTAAGAGCATGTATTTTGGTTGCGGGCACATTCCCAGTTGGGGGGTGCAAGAGGCAGCTGGTTGATGTTTCTCTCTCATTGACATTTCTAACTCTCTATCCCTCTCAATTCCTCTCTGTAAAAAAATCAATAAAATATATTTAAAAAAAAAAAAAGAAAGAAAGAAAGGAAGAAAGGAAGAAAAGAAATAGTCATTGTCATCTAGAACTACTTTGGTGCCTCCATATTTTGGAAGGACACCTGTATCTTCACATTTCATGCTAACAGGTTGAAGCTCTCCACCCTTTCCTTTGGAGCCCAATCCAACAGCGACTACTATTTTTTGCAACACTTTACCTTGAGATTTTTCTGGAAGCATAATGCCTCATTTGGTTACAGTTTCCGCAGCACTCTTTTCAATGAATACTCGTCAAAGGGGGAAAGGAATTTCCTAAAGACCTGTCCTGCCACGAGTCTGACCGCTAGGAGGAACACACAGTCACCAATGGCCTCTATCTATCTATCTGTTAAATTTTATTTTATTATTTAAAGTATTACAAGTAACAGTACATATGTCTCCTTTTTTTCCCCATTGACCTTCTCCCAGCCTCCCCTATTACCCCACCCACCCAATGTCTTGTGTCCATTGGTTATGCTTATATGCATGCACACAAGTTCTTCCAACAGTCTCCAGCCTTCCCACTGTAATTTGATAGTCTGTTCGATGCTTCTCTGCCTCTGAATCTATCTTTTTGTTCATCAGGTTATAATGTTCTTTATTATTCATAAATGAGTGAGATCGTGTGGTATTTTTCTTGCACTGGCTGGCTTATTTCACTTAGCATAATGCTCTTTCATTCCATCCATGTTGCTGCAAATTGTAAAAATTCCTTCTTTTTTATAGCAACGTGGTATCCCAGCTGCTGATGGGCATTTAGGCTGCTTCCAAAACTTAGCTATTATAAATTGTGCTGCTATGAACATAGGAGTGCATATATTCTTTCTGATTGGTGTTTTCTGTTTTCTTGGAATATATTCCCAGAAGTGGAAGTACTGGGTCAAATGAGAGTTCCATTTTTAAATTTTTGAGGAAACAACATACCCTTCTCCACAGTGGCTGCACCAGTCTGCATTCCCACCAGCAGTGAAGGAGGGTTCCTTTTTCTCCGCATCCTCTCCAGCACTTGTCATTTGTTGATTTGTTGATGACAGCCATTCTGACATGTGTGAGGTGGTACCGCATTGTTGTTTTGATTTGCATCTCTTGGATGATTAGTGATTTTGAGCATATTTTCATGTGTCTCTTGGCTTTCTGAATGTCCTCTTTTGAAAAGTTTCTATTATATTTAGGTTTGCCCATTTTTTAAATTTTTTTAAATCTCAATTAAAAGATTAAAAAATAAAAATGCGCAGTAGTGAAGGTCATTTACTTCCTCTACTGTTCTGTTTGGAATGCCTGTTTCCTGTCCAGTAGTCAGGACAGTACTGAAGTTCCCTGCATTCCACTGCTCCTCTGTGTTGCAAGCCACAGTCCTGATTTTCCAGCAGGCAGTATCTGTTTCTTAAGACTCCTTTTTTTGTGTTTACACAGAGTCAATTTGTGATTCAACCCCTGGGTGGCAGTGTTTCTGGATTGACCTCCTGGGCTGTGAGTCCTCTCTAGCCAGTATTTACATTTGTTTTCCCTGTCACACTTAATACTGGTTTGGGAAAATGGACTGCCCCAGAGCTGGTTCATTACACCCCACTCTGACCTCCAGGTTCCACCAAAACAACTTTCCCCTGCAGTCTCTGAGAGTGTCCCCAATTGGGTGATTCTATGTAATCAAAAGCAAGTAATCAAAAGCTTAGTATGTAATCAAAAGCTTAGTAATCAAAAGCAAGGATTTAAAGACAAAAAAAGAGCCAGAGTAAGTGTGCAAACTCACGACTTTCTGCTGCTGCGGGCAACTCTGTGAACATCTCTGTGCAAGTCTTTCCCCCAGCACTAAGCAGCCGGCACACTGGTAAAATTTCAGGCTGCCTATTGCTCCCAGTCCAACTATGGGTTGATCTTTAGAGTTCCCTTCTGCTAGCAGCCCTGCGAATCCACTTCTACATTCACAGATCACGCTAGCCTCACGGCTGCGGATTTTGTGGGGTGCCAACTTCCCCCAAACCTCTAGATCCCATTGTGCGCATTTTTCCTCTCCAGCCTGGATCACAGACCTCACCTTTTCTAGGCGACATCTGACCTTTCAGTGAGAAGGTGCAGAGCTCATCCGAGTCTGGTATTTGCGCTGCTTGAGATCCCGTGTTCCTGGCCTCGAAGCTGTTCCCTGGGTGTGGTGGGTGTGGAGTCCCAGGATGCATAGGCTTCTGATAACAGCCCGTCTCCCTTTCAGGATGGCGTGGTCTCCACAGCAGAGTCAATTGCTCTGGGAGAGACTTCAGCAGCAGTGGAGGCTGCTCGGTCAGGAGATCCTGGTCTGGCAATTCCCAACAGTCCCTTAGAGTCTAGCTGTCCCTCACCCACAAATATACACTCCTGTATGTCCACACACTCTCCTTTTGCTCTCTCACTCACACACTATCCTGCAGTCTGCCTTCCTGTCGATATCCATCTTCCAATAGCCACTATCTATATTTTTTGACTGTCATTTTGTCTCCTGGAATCTGTCCCAAGGGAAGAAAAAAGATTGATCTATTATAAAAATGTTCTTCACAGCATTATTTACAACAGGGGGAAAATAGAAACAAACCAAATATCTTAAAAAACCACCTGTAGAGCCAAGACCGGTTTGGCTCAGTGGATAGAGCATTGGCCTGCGGGTCCCCGGTTCGATTCCGATCAAGGGCACGTACCTTGGTTGTGGGCACATCCCCAGTAGGGGGTGTTCAAGAGGCAGCTGATCGATGTCTCTCGCTCATCGATGTTTCTAGGTTTCTATCCCTCTCCCTTCCTCTCTGTAAAAACTCAATAAAATATATTTTTTTAAAAATAAATAAAATAAAAAACCACCACTAGAAATCTTACTTTTGCCAAATACTTGATAACATAGGGAAGTGCTTGAGATGTGTAAAAATGTGAAAATACTAGAATGCTGAACTGTTTGCATAATACTGGGAGGCGAACTCAGAATTGAGTACAGGCTTAGCAGTAAAGCCAGGATTTGAGGGGTAGCTCTGCCACTTCTTAGCTGCATGACTTCAGTCAAGGAAAGCAAACTCAGTCTCTGATTCCTCATGTACAAAATGGGGATAATAACATCAGCTTCCAGGTATTATAGAATAGTCCTGGGCACAATGGATGTAAAACAGCACCATGCCTGCTGGTAGATGTCATTATTATCACTTTAGGGGACAGGGATCCCCGGGGCACTGCTGGTCGGATGGGCTGGGAGATGTTGCTGTTCTTAAAAGAAAGCAGAGGGAGAAATAGAGCAAAGGACAAAGAAAAGAAGTTTGTTGGCAAAGGGAAGAGATGCACCTTCCGGAGAAAAGATAACATTCTACCTCTTTTCCGGAATTGCCCCACCAGGCACAGCCTCCCTTTTCCGGGCTTCTGTTACAGTTTCCTTCCCTCTGGCTGCATCTGTAGCTTTCTTTGAGAAGCTACCAAGACAATGCACCCATGGAAAAGGGGGAGTCCAAACCCCAGGACTCCTTGCCTGAGACTCTGATGTCCTCAGCCAACAATCTCTATCATAGAAAGGAAAACTCTCCAGGTATTTGGTTTGGAGGTGGAAATTTATGGCCAGGAGAGAAGTGAGACTGAGTCAGGCCACGGAGTCTTGCCAAAGAGGCGTGCCTGCCCCGCCCTGCTGGCCCAGGCAGGGGAACCCAGGACTCCCCAGACTTTCTGTTGGTCCTGGCAGTGCTTGTTGAAGCGGCCTGCACCTTTGTACATAGTGGTTTTCAGGAGGATGGGGAGGATACCCCAGACAGCTTCTGCTCGGGCCTGAAGGTGCTAAATGAATGCTGTCCCTGAGCCCAGGGCCCTAACTCCAGGAAGCCGCAGAGCTCCTGAATTCACAGCCCCAAAAGGTTTTCTGCCCTTTTCGCAGTGATGAGGTGCCTGGGGATCCCCACCCGCGTGATCACCAACTTTGACTCTGGCCACGACACAGACGGGAACCTGATCATAGATGAGTACTACGACCACACGGGCAGGATTTTGGAGAATAAGAAGGACACTGTCTGGTGAGAGGCCACTTCTTGTTCTCTGTGTAGGGCGAACCCCACCAGAAGATGTGAGTCTGATACCCTCTCCTGCCCCCCACCCCCACTTTCATCAGCCCTACAGCTCAGTATCTTCAACCCAAAGGCTGGGACACAGCTCAACAATAACGAAAATTGTTGTTGAGCTGTGCCCCAGCCTTTGGGCTGAGATCCAGTGTTCCTGGGCTCGAAGCTGTTCTCAACAACAACAAATTTGAGTTAGAATCTAATCGTCACAAGAGCTCCCTGTCCTGGGTGAGGTTTTCCTCTTTGCCGCCTCCTTCATTTAATACTCAGCCTGGGCTGCAGGAGGACCGGAAGTCTCGCCTCCAGACACAAAGACCGTGATGGCCTCTGAGTCAGCAGCTCACATAGGAAATGGCACAAGGACTTTCAGAGAGAGAGAGAGAGAGAGAGAGAGAGAGAGAGAGAGAGAGAGAGTTTTTAACTTCCTTTGGCCCTGGAAGCCTTTATTCTCTAGTTTCCAACAGAGGAAAGCTCCTTGCAGGGCAGGTTGGGCTCACAGGAGGAAGAACCATCACTACTCACCCACTGAGGTCTGAAGGCCTGGGTGTGCTAAGTCTGTCTTTCTAACCGTCAGTGCACCCACTCATCGTCCCCGCCTCCCTCCAGAAGGAACACAAGCACTATGAACGTACCTTTCGCTCATTTGACACTGGCTCCCGTGGCTTCTCCCTCAGGAATTTCCACGTCTGGAATGAGTGCTGGATGGCCCGACTGGACCTCCCTCCTGGATACGGAGGCTGGCAGGTGCTGGACTCCACGCCTCAGGAGAGGAGCAATGGTGAGGCTCTCCATGGGAAAGGCAGAACCCGCTCCCAGGGAAACAGCCCTGGGCCCCGCCTGTCCCTGCAACGGCCCCTCTGCTCCTCTGCTCTCCTCCAGGCATGTTCTGCTGTGGCCCTGCCTCCGTCAGAGCCATCAAACAGGGAGAGGTGGATCTGAACTACGACACAGCCTTTGTCTTCTCCATGGTGAATGCCGACTGTGTGTCCTGGCTCATCCTTGGAGGAAAGGAGCAGAGGCTTCACCGGGACACGAATTCCGTGGGCAATTTTATCAGCACCAAGAGCATTCGGAGTGATGAACGGGATGACATCACGGAGAGCTACAAGTATGAAGAAGGTATGACTATGCCAGCCCCCTCAGAGTCCAGGTCCTGTGGGCACCTTCCCCCTACCCCGGGGATCCCCTCAGCCCGCTGGAACAGGCCTCTGGGGAACAGAGGGTGTCTGTGGGGCAGGACCCAGGTCCAGGCTCCTCAGCCCTTCAGTTTTGAGTTCCCAGTTCAGGAATCCCCACTGCCTCACTTCCTCAACCCCCCACCTCCCATCCCATTGGCCAGTGAGCGCTTTCTCACAGATGCTCACATTGGCTATAGGGCCACTGACAGGCATCTCATCAACAGTATATGAATTCCTCACCCCTGCCTTCCCCCCAAATTAGCTTCCTACTGAAGATAGGGGCATTTAGAAGAAAAAAAGAATACGCTTATTAATGAATTAAATTAATTTTCTTTAATGTATTGCATAATTTACTGTGTTTTATTGGGTGTTTGGAGGACAGATCAGACCACCAGTCAGCACCGAGGCTGATATAAGGCCATATGCTCACTCTTGCGCCCGCCCTGCAGAAGATGATTTGGAGAGGTGGGAGACCTGGCAGGGGCTTCTTATCCAAGCCAGCAGGGGCAAAGGGGCAGCTAAATTAGCCAGCTGTGGACTAATTTCTGGAAATTTAGGAGGACCAATCACCAGTTCAATCACTAGGGAGCCAAACAAACATATCCAGCCTATGAGGGCCAGAAGCAGGGTGAGGGCAGGATCTGAGTAGGGTGGGTCAGGAAGGTGTGGAGGGTGGGGGTGGGGGTAGCTGAGCAATTGCTGGCAAGTAGATGTCTGGTCTGTCTATGCGGGCCTTTGGGGCCAACATAGAGAAGCTCCAAAATCCAAGCCTAGGAAAGGGCTACAGAGCAGTACCGTCCATCCCCTCCCCACCCCCATCCACTCTGGGCTATCTTGGTTGGAGTGCCCAGAAACAGATCCTGAGGCAAGGATTCAAGTACAAGTGGTTTATCTGTGAGGCAGTCCAGAACTACGGGAAGGAAGGAGAGTGAGCGAGGGAGGCAGGGAAGGGGAGGGAGCCAGAGCAGGGGACCCCATCAAGCCTGTTTGCATGTGGGCAGCGGGAGCAAAGGCCGTCTGGGGATCTCTGCCAGTGGGGTTGCCAGGGAAAATACAGGGTGAATAATGCCTTCGTCCAGTGATTGGCAAACTTCGGCTCGAGAGCCACATGCTGCTCTTTGGCCCCTTGAGTGTGGCTCTTCCACAAAATACCACATGCAAGCGCACACGTGCAGTGCGACTGAATCTTCGTGACCCCTGCACAGAAGTCGGTTTTCGGCTCTCAAAAGAAATTTCTATCGTTGTACTGTTTGTATTTGGCTCTGTTGACTAATGAGTTTGCTGACCACTGGTATAGTCTATTGGGTCATGAGCACAGGCGGATTTGGTTTCTACCTGGACTATGCCCCCAGCAAGTTGTGAGACTTGGGCAACTGACATGACCTCTCTAAGCCCCATTTTCCACATCTGTATATGGAAGAATAATAATATCTCTCTCTCATGGTTGATGTAAGGATGAAAGGAGTGAAGTGCTGAGCAGAGCCTGGCACTTAGAAAGCACCCGATACACTGTAGGGAGTGTTTGTTGTTGGAAACTGAAAGTTTGAACAACCTGACAGTGTTGGTATCGCTATTGGGAAGGATGTTCAGCCATGGCCTAACCGCCGGCCCATCGCTGGTGCTCTCTCTGCCCTCCCAGGTTCTCCCCAGGAGAGACAGGTGTTTCAGAAGGCTCTTCAGAAGCTGAAGATGGGCAAGTCCCAAGGCCACTACCAAGCAGACTCAAAACCTTCCAGCCTCATGCCTCGGAGGCTGAATTCACCCCCGCTCCGGCCCTGTGATATTATCCAGGTCTCCCTGGAATTACAGCTGCTTGACCTGCCCAACATGGGCCAGGACATAAAGTTTGTCCTGCTGGCCATCAACATGTCGCGCCAGCTCAAGGAACTCAAAGTGAACCTGAGTGCGCAGTCTCTGCTGCACAATGGCAGCCCCCTGCCCCCGTTCTGGCAGGATACAGCCTTCATCAGTCTTGTTCCCAAAGAAGGTATGGGCTCTGGGTGTGGGCATGGGGACTCCGTACACAGATGGGTTATGGAAATACCACTGGGGTCCAGCTACCCAACAAGGGTTCTGCAGCTCCCCTGTGACGTCATCGTCCTGGCGTCTCCTCAGCACAGATGCCTCTTCTTCCCTTATCTCCTTCCCTCTGCTTCTGCCTCCTGTCTCCTCTTCTTCCTTCTACCCCTCCTTCAAGGGCAGCAGCCTGGCTTAGTGGAGAAAACCTGAGCTTCGGCGTCATCCAACATTTAGAGCCTCAGCTCACCCATTTACATGCAGAATAACCTTGGGCAATTGCTGGGAATGATGGCAAGTGGGCGTCTGTGGTCTGTCCATTTCACTTCCCAGTCTCTCCATCTGAAAATATGGTACCTGCTTCACTGGGGCTCAGCACTTGTTGGCTTTCTCCTTTCTATAAAAGGGTCCCCATATCCACCAGGTCCAGCTGATTTCCACAGCAGTCTCACCTCATCCTTGTGTGCTCTCCCCAGCAAAGACCCATCGCTGTCAAATCTCCTACTCCCAGTACAGCCAGCACCTGTCAACAGACAAGCTGATTCGCGTCAGTGCGCTGGTAGAAGAGAAGAGCTGTCCCGAGAAGATCCTGGTGAACAAGATCATCACCTTAGTGTATCCTGCCATCATAATTAATGTAAGCAAGAGCCCAGGAAGTGACCCGGGGGTTCCTTGGGACTAGCTGGGAGTGGGAGGAGCCCTCTGAGAGTCTGCTCAGAAAAGCAGCCCCTCCTTTCCTCCTCTTCTGGTGCTTCCAGGTACTTCCCCGTCCCCCCTTGCCCCTCCTAGTCCCCCCATTCCCCCCCCTCCCCAGCTTGGGAGGTTTATCTGAAAACACTGGGTGATGTTTCCATCCTCTTGCACCATTCAATGCCTGGTGGGTGGACCTTAAGCAGCTGCCATGGAGAGGTCCCTCTCTTTGCCACCTCCCACTGTTGGCCTTCCCTAAGATCAATATGAGCTCAATTGGGAGGGACCTGAGAAGGGGGAGAGCACTGCCTGAAGGTCAGCTTAGGTTTCATTTGCCATTTCCTGGCTGTGCATCCTTGGACAAGCCCCTGGGCCTCTGCTTCTTGAACTGTCAATTAAGAGGACTAGAAAAGATGGCTGCTGAGGACCGTCCTGTTCTGGTGGCCTGTGATCCTCTGAGTGGGAAGATGTCACGGGTCCCTTCCTTCCATTACTGCCTCACCAAAGCCAAGCAGCTTCCTGACGCTGCCACCTGAACCTATGGTGCCCTCCGTGGCATGCACCTGGCAAGCCTAGCCTTGGGAGGGTTTCTAAAAGTGCTTCTACGTTTCTTGAAGCTACTTCCTTGTCTCTACAGCCCTGAATGAGCTCTTCATGTGAAAAGAATGAGCCACTTATTTTTTTTAATATATATATATATATATATATATATATATATATATATATTGATTTTTCACAGAGAGGAAGAGAGAGGGATAGAGAGTTAGAAACATCGATGAGAGAGAATCATCAATCAGTTGCCTCTTGCACACCCCCTACTGGGGATGTGCCCGCAACCAAGGCACTTGCCCTTGATCGGAATCGAACCCGGGACCTTTCAGTCCGCAGGCTGACGCTCTATCCACTGAGCCAAACCAGTGCCGGCAGAATGAGCTACTTATAATAAAAGGGAAGGAAGAGATGGGGTAGAATTGTAATCAGAAGAAACAAACAAAAGCTGCCAAAGAACATTCTTTTAAAAAATTCTTTAGCAGTGCTTCCCAAAGTGTGGTATGCGTACCCCCAGGGGTACAGGAAGAGTTTGGTGGGGGTACGCATTGCACCAGAGTTTGGTGGGGATATGCACTGCACCGTGCTTAGCTGAGCCTAATTCTACGTTCTCATGAGTACGAGGGGTACTCAGCGTTACGAAAATTATAGAAAGGGTACACATATGTCAAAAGTTTGGGAAACACCTGTTTAAAGTATTACATATACTATTACAGATGTCTCCTTTTTCTCCCATTGACCTCTCCCCAGCCATCCCCACCCCCTAGCACATGCCTTAACCCGCCTAGTGTCTGTGTCCATTGGTTATGCTTATATGCATAAATCCTTTGGTTGATCTCTTACCCTACTCCACTTCCTACCCTCCTCTGCCTTCCCTCTGAAGTTTGACTGTCTGTTCAATGCTTCTCTGCCTCTGTATCTATTTTTGTTCATCAGTTGATGTTGTTCATTATATTCCACAAATAAGGAGATCATGTGATATTTATCTTTCTCCAACTAGCTTATTTTGCTTAGCATAATGCTGTCCTTATTCATCCATGTGTTGCAAATGGTAAGAGTTCTTTTTTTTATAGCAGCACTAGAGGCCTGGTGCACAAAATTTGTGCATGGGGGTAGGGGGTGGGGATGGTGTCCCTCAGCCCAGCCTGCAACCTCTCCAATCTGGGATCCCTCTCACAATCCAGGATTGCTGGCTCCCAACTGCTCGCCTGCCTGCCTTCCTGATTGCCCCTAACCGCTTCTGCCTGGCAGCCTGATCACTCCCTAATCACTTTTAGGATATATTTAGGATTGCTGGGTCAAACGGGGGTCCCATTTTTAATTTTTTGATGATGGAACTTCATATTGTTTTCCACAGTGGCTGCACCAGTCTGCATTTCCACCAGCAGTGCACAAGGGTTCCTTTTTCTCTACATCCTCTCTAGCACTTGTCATTTGTTGATGATAGCCATTCTGACTGGGGTGAGATGGTACCTCATGTCGTTTTGATTTGCATCTCACAGATGATTAGTGACTTTGAGCATGTTTTCATGTCTCTTGGCCTTCTGTATGTCTACTTTCGAAAAGTGTCTATTTAGGTCCTTTGCCCATTTTTTTTATTGGATTGTTTATCTTCCTTTTGTTAAAATGTATGAATTCCCTATAAATTTTGGAGATTAGACCTTTATCGGATATAACATTGGCAAATATGTTCTCTCATAAAATGGGCTTTTTTGTAGTTTTTTTGATGGTCTCTTTTGCTGTGCAGAAGTTTTTTAGTTTAATGTAGTCTCATTTGTTTATTTTCTCCTTAGTTTCCCTTGCCTTAGGAGCTGTATCGGTAAAGATATTGCTATGACATATGTCTGATATTTTACTGCCTATGGATTCTTCTAAGATTTTTATGGTTTCCTGTCTTATGTTTAAGTCCTTTATCCATTTTGAGTTTATTTTTGTGTATGGTGCAAGTTGGTGGTCTAGTTTCATTTTTTTTGCATATATCCGTCCAATTTTCCCAACACCATTTATTGAATAGACTGTCTTGACTCCATTGTATGCTCTTGCCTCCTTTGTCAAATATTAATTGAGCATAATGGCTTAGGTCAATTTCTGGGTTCTCTGTTCGGATCCATTGGTCTATATATCTGTTCTTGTGCCAGTACCAGGCTATTCTGAGAACAGTGGCTTTATAATATAGCTTGATATCTGCTATTATGATCCCTCCAACTTAGTTTTCTTTCTCAAGATTGACGCGGCTATTTAGAGTCTTTTTTTTCCATATGAATTTTTGGAGAGTTTGTTCTAGGCCTGAGAAATATGCCATTGATATTTTAATGGGAATTGCATTAAATCTATAGATTGCTTTAGGTAGTATGGACATTTTAATGATGTTGATTCTACCAGTCCATGAGCACGATATGTTTTTCCTCTATCTCTTTTTTCAGTGTCCTGTAGTTTTCCAAGTACAGGTCTTTTACCTCCTTAGCTAAGTTTATTCCTAGATATCTTAATTTTTTTGATGCAATGGTAAATGAGATTTTTTTTTTTTTTTTTTTTTTTTTTTAGTTTCTCTTTCTGTGAGTTCATTATTGATGTATAAAAAAGCCATAAGTTCCTGGGTGTTAATTTTGTATCCTGCTACATTACCAAATTCATTTATTAAGTCTAATAGTTTTTTTTTTTATTATTGTGTCTTTAGGATTTTTCAACTCCCAGGTGGGAAAACATGGACATGGAAGCTCAGCTCTTCAAGAAACAGACCTAGGGAACAATGCCCTCCACATGTGTGGTGAATTAGAGAATGAGATTAATTCTCTGCTTCTTCCTTTCTTCTGATTTCTCTGTTTAGGTCTTAGGAGCAGCCATTGTGAACCAGCCACTCTCCATACAGGTGATATTTTCAAACCCTCTATCAGAGCAGGTTGCAGACTGTGTGCTGACTGTGGAAGGAAGTGGTCTCTTCAAGAAACAGCAGAGAGTCTTGTAAGTGTTAAAGGTGCCAAGCTTTCTCTCCTGTCTTATTCTGAGGTCTGTGCTGTCATTTCTGGACATGGGCTTTCTTAGGCCAGGCTCTGAGAAAACTGGGAAAGGAGAGACCAGCTTGCTGAGTGAAAAAGGGCTTTGGGGTGATCACAAATATCTAAGTTTTTCAGACATTTTTCTTTCTCTCTATAGCATTGGAGTCCTCAAACCCCAACACAGGGCCAGCATCACTCTAAAGACTGTCCCCTTCAAGAGTGGCCAAAGGCAGATCCAAGCTAACCTGAGGAGCAACAAATTTAAGGACATCAAGGGTTACAAGGACATCAATGTTGACTTGTATGTATAATATCTTGGACAAGAAGATGATTGCATAGATTTTAAGCTTGAAGAAAATACTCAAGATCAAATACAAGCTGCATCATTCCCCACCACAACAGAGGCTTTATAGGGCTCTGACGTGAGCAGCAGAGGCAATGCTAGTGATGGATAGTCCTCTGGGCCATTTTCACAATTCCCCAAGATTCTATTCAGAGCCCAGGGATTCCGTGGTGTCCCATCCAGAAGTGTGAGATGGCCAGAAGTTCAATGACCTGGTAGAATTTGACCATAATTAACTGCCCAGATGTCAAGAAAAGAAGAAGACTGGCTGTACAGCTGTCATTTTGTCATTGCAATGGCTAATTTCCTAGTACCAATAAATGCCAGTCCTTATTCTAATCTACTTTGTACCAATGCAATCATCACTTTCCCTACAGCAGCTCCCACCTATTCCCTGGATGCTGGGAGTGTCCCATTTTTTCAATGCCTTGAAAGTGGAGTCCATCCACTTGTTTGAGAAATATAATATAGGGGATAAGGCAATTAAAAAAAAAAAAAAAAAAAGCAAAGTCCTTACCCCAGGGAGTGTACATGGTGGGGGCCGGGAGGAGCACAGGTAATAAACATGTCAACAAATAAGTAAAGTACTTACCTATGGTGTATCAGTCACGATCCAATTAGGAAAACCTTTGCAGGTGTTTCTATATACTATTTATCATCTTTGTGTCTTGGGGAAAAACCTGGGAGATCTCTCAGTTGAACTTCCTTTGAATCCCTCCCTATGGTGCATCCAAGAAGTTCCTGAGTCCTAACAGTTCCAGCTTCTGGGCTCAAAGTCTACCAGTGCATTGTGGTCCTGGTTGGGTCTGGGATGGCTGGGGTGCAGGAGATAAAGCCAGCTGAGTAATGAAGGGAGGCAGTTTTTTTTCAGAGGAAATGAAATATTCTCAGGCCTTGAAATATTTAATAGTCCCACTGAACACAAAATAATTCCAATTGGACGCACCTTTCTCATGGTACTTTGCAAAGTTCTGCTTAGAGATAGGCATGATGCTCCTGCCCTTCAGGCACTAGCTATGACTGAGAGAACTGTTTAGGACATACATTAAATGCATACACATTAAATAAAAAAGTTAAATAACTCTATTATATATAAACTAAAGGATAAATGTAGTTAATCAGAGGGAGAGTAGAGGGTGTGGTGGGAATTATATAGTAGGTTAATAGCCCTATTAAAGAGTAGGCTGAGCCATAGCTGGTTTGACTCAGTGGATGGAGCATCAGACTGTGGACGGAAGGGTCCCAGATTTGATTCCAGTCAAAGGCACATGCCTGGGTTGTGGGCTGGATTCCCAGTTAGGGGTGTGTAGGTGGCAGCCAGCCAATGATTATCACAATGGAAAACAAGGCACGTTAGTGTGTCTGGAAATATATGCCTTCATTTGTTGAAAGATATTTTCTCATATATATATATATATATATATATATATATATATATATATATATAAATAATTTTAGATTAGCTGTTTCTTCCTTCAGAATTTTTCAAGATATCATCTCACTTGTCTTTTAGCTCCCATTGTTTTCATTGATAGTCATCTATTATTCTTATTTTGCTCCTTTGAAAGTAATGTGTGTTTTGACTTCTTCCCAAGTTGGAAGCATAGGTAAATGTGATACTTGCATTCTCCCATAACCACATCAAAAATTACAACTAGCTCTGGCCAGTGTTATCAGTAATTAGAGCATCATCCCTCACACCAAAATGTATTGGGTTCAATTCCCTGTGGAGAGCATGTATCTGGGTTCCAGGTTCAATCCCTGACCCCACTCAGGCCATGTGCAGGAGGCAACCAATTGATGTGTCTCTCTCACATCCATGTGTTTCTCTCTCTCTCTCTCTCTCTCTCTCTCTCTCTCTCTCTCTCTCTCTCTCTCTCTTTCTCTCTCTCTCTTCCTCTCTCTCTCTCTCTCTCTCTCTCTCTCTCTCTTCTCTCTCTCTCTCTCTCTCTCTCTCTCTCTCTCTCTCTCTCTCTCTCTCTCTCTCTTTCTCTCTCTCTCTCTCTCTCTCTCTCTCTCTCTCTCTCTCTCTCTCTCTGCCTTCCTCCTTTCCACTCTCTCTAAAAATTAATTTAAAAATATATCCTCAGGTGAGAATTAACAGAAAGCAAACAAAAAATTACAACTGAACTACAGAACAACCATTATTCAGAACCACCTGAAATTGAGCTGAATCAAAGTTCTACTGGGAAATTAAAGAGGCCACATCAAGACTAGTAAAAAAAAAAAAAAAAAAAAAAAGCAGAGATGCAGAGTTGGCTGGTCCCATACCCACATGAGATGGATAAAAATTGGAAAGGATATCTCAGCTGTGGAAGTCCCCCTGAAGAGCAAGGGGTCCCAGCCCACCAGGCCCCCCTATCTAGTGTTCCAGTGCCAGGAAGAGAAGTCCCCATAACTTCTGGTTGTAAAAAGCAGCAGGATTGAGGCTGAGGAAGACTGAGGCTGCTTGGAGTTCCAGGTAGTTCCTCTTAAAGGGCCCACACATAGACTTACTTGGACTCCCTCCCTCTGAGCTCCAGCGTGGAGTCAGCAGCTTGACAGGTACCAGAGATATAGGGAGGGACTGAATTGTTTGGCATCAGGGTGAGAGCTTTCTCCCAGACAGAAGTGATGGCAGATCCTTTGTTATTTTGATGAGCCCTTCCCTCACGAAGCCAACAGACAGGTGCCATATCTGAGTATCCATCAACCTGACTCACACTGTTTGCCCCACCCTGGTGATTCTCAGAGGCCCTGCCCCACCCAACTTTCAAGCCCACCCAAGCTGTTTCCAGTGGTTTTTCCATAGCTTGTCTTGATGCATGCTTCAGATTTTCCTAAAATCTCTCACAAAGCAGCATCTTGGCCTCAGCAAACCCCATACCTCTTGCTAAGTTGCCTCAGGCCTGCCACTAGCAGCAACCAGCCTTTATTCACAGCTTGACCTTGACTGTGTACCTCCAAACCCAGCACAAAAAGCAACATCTACAGATCGTTTTGTAACTTCTGGAAGGTGGTCCTGGACAAAGCACAGATGGTGGCTGAGCTTGGCATACACCTATCTGGAGGCCTCAGAACAACCAACCTAGTGGACAGCTTCAAAACACATTAAAGCACAACCTAATCACCTCTACAATGAGACACTCAAGGGGTAGACTCAGCAGACACCAGAGCCCTGCTGAAGTAAGTCTTGCTTTGTGTGGTGGGGCCCTGCACAGCTGACCCTCCACGGTGGTTGGAGGTCAGTGGTCAGTGGTCACAGCCAGTCCTTGAAGATATGGGCCTGGATAATTCCCTCATATTGTCATGCCAACAGCAATCACAGCTCAACCTGAACAGGAGAGCGTACAGCCCAAATGGGGGAATGGAGAGATGCCCAGCTTGAGTGATTGGGGAGGCTGTATCACTGGACCCTACAGGACACCTATTACATTAGGCCACAATACTAAGCCAGGAAGACATAAGGACTCTACCTAATACATAGAAATAAACACAGGAGACTGCCAAAATAAGGAGACAAAAGAACATGGCCCAAGTGAAAGAATAGAACAAAACTCCAGAAAAAGAACCAAAGAGAATGGAGACAAACAATCTACTAGATGCAGAGTTCAAAACACTGGTTATAGTATTGCTCAATGAATTTATTCCCAAGTTGGAAGTTGACTTCTTCCCAAGTTGGAAGCATAGGTAAATGTGATACTTGCATTCTCCTATAACCACATCAAAACCACCATATGTCAGTGAGAACCTCAGCAACATAAAAAAGAACAAGTCAGAAATGAAGAATACACTAACCGAAATAAAGAATAACTTATAGAGAAGCAACAGTAGAGTAGATGAAACTGAGAATTGAGTTGGTGGTTTATAATATAAGGAAGCAAAAAACACCCATTCAAACAGCAAAAAGAAAAAAAGAATTAAAAAAAAAAATGAAGGTAGTGTAAGGAGCCTCTGAGACAACTTTGAACATACCAACATTTGTATCACTGAGGGTACTGGAAGGAAAAGAGAGAGTGAGAAATTGAAAAACTATTTGAAAAAATAATGACAGAAAACTTCCCTAACTTGGTGAAAGATATAGAAATACAAGTCCAGGAAGCAGAGTCCCAAACAAGATGAATCCAAAGAGGCCCAAGAAACATCATACTTAAAATGCAAAATGTTAAAGGCAAGAATCTTAAAAACAAGAGAAAAGCAGTTAGTTACCTACAAGGGAACACCTATAAAACTGTTAATGAAAAAAACCATTGAAACCTGTAAAGAATTTTTGTGAGTTTATTTGAGCCAAACTGTCGACATATGCCAGGAAGCAGAACCTCAATGGATTGAGATAATGCTCTGAAGAATGGCAGGTTACATTTCTATTTATACACTGAAATCAAAGGAGGGACATAGGTGGGTTACATGAAATTCATTGGTGATGGAGTAAGGAGGCGGGAGAAAGCAAAGCGGTGGGAAACTCCTGGGATTGGATAAAAATTAAAATGATGGACGTAAGGTGAGTGCAGGAACAATTAACATGATAAGGAAGGAATTTGAGGCATTCTGTTCTGGCGCCCACCACATTTGGTTGTGCCCCAGAGGCTCCGGAAAAAGGGAAGTTACAAGTTACCCAGACATCTCATAGATATGTTATCTTAGAGGCAAAAAAGGCAAATGGGCTCAGTGAAAAGATCGAAGTTGATTTTTGTCTGGGAAAATATGGGCCTAGAACATGACTACTCACTATAACCTGTTTGTAGTTAGATATTTAATTTTCAAACCATCTTTTGTGGTTATTTTAGGTCTCTAAGTTTGCAAAACTGCCACGCAGGCCTCCCCTGAGCTTGTCAAGTTAGCATGTGGCTCTTTTCTTTCACAAAACTGTCATCTGATTTCTCAAAAGAAACTTTGTAGGCAGAATGGATTGGCAAGAAATATTCAAAGTCATGAAAAGCAAGCACCTACAACCAAGATTACTCTACCCAACAAAGCTATCATTTAGAA